TACGGTTTGTGGTGTTGCCGGTGTTGCCCCCGGCATTGTTTTCGTGGGGGGTTTTTTTGGGGTTTTTTTGTTTTTAAAAATCATCTTTTGGTTTTTGGGTTTTTTTTTTTTTTTTTTTTGTTACTGTTTGTTTCTGTTATCAATTTTTCCTTATCAGTTTTTATTTCTTCACATCAAAAGAATTGCAAAGAAAAGCGCCAAGAACATGCCCTGAGTTGGAATAATCGCAACCCCGAGATTTGATGGCCCATAATTATTTTGATACGTGACAAGTTGAGTATTTCCCGCAACGACAAATGTCGAGAGCGACGTGGCTGGGAAAGCTTGGTTTGACTTGTAACATTGCACTTCCCCGGGATGCTGAATAACGTAATACGATGGGTCAATTCCATCACCCACAATACGCAACTTATAATTTCCTGGCTGAAGTCCCGAAACTTTCCAAATGTATGATGTTTGCGAACCTGGAATACTCGACGCAACTGATGGGTTTGAGTAAAATGTGGCTGCCGTCGGTGCACTGGCAGCTACCAGTGCATTTGATACAGGAACGTTGGCCCAGTAAATATTGATTTTCGTAGGAATTGTAGTATCAGACTATATTTTTTCGATGAGTGCACAATTCAATGCTATCAAGTGCTTACATTGTAGCTCCAGGTTATGTTAAGATTTCCTCCAACTACAGTTGCACTTTTTTCGATATCATTTGAATTTGGAGAAAGGAGAAAAATAGAGCCTGGTTGTGCAGAGTTATCATAAACGCATGACGAATTTGATGCTGATGATGTCGAATTTGTGCCGGTGGCTGCGGCTGATGCTGTGGCACTGCTCACTTGCCCAATAACTCCAAAAACAACTCCCACAAGAACGCCAAAAATAAGACGAAACATTTTGATACTTCTTCAAATATGCAGCATTTTGTGTTAACAAACATTTTTTTGTTCTTCGCCTTCCAGAATTTGACAATTGAAAAAGAGGGGGTGGAAGAAAGCTGAAAAATGGGTTGGAAAGGAAAGAAAAGTATTGAAAATGCAAGGCAGCGAAGCAAGCGACTATTTCCAGAGTGACCGTGACTTGTTGTTGGCCCAACAACGACAGCAAAAAAAAGAGGCGTCGCAGGGTGGCGCATTCTCGGTTCGTGCGCGCGTCTCGATTGCAACAGCTTCGTCCAAAGTGCTGTGCATGCACATTGTTGTTTCGGACAAATCACTGCACACGCCTTCGGACTTGGCGGATACAACTGCAACTGTTGCTGTTGTGGGCGAGAGTGGTCATGTTGCTCGCCGCATCAATCTGCACGTGAGTATCCAAACTGATGCAGCCATACACACAAACTAACAGACTGTAAACTGACTACAGACTGGCCAATCACTTGCTGTCTATCGCGGCCATAAGGGTCCTGTCACTGCTATTGCTATAGAGTACACTTCCGACGCGAACGCATCTCCCGCTTTTGTTTTTACGGCATCATGGGACAAGACAATAAAAAAATTCGACTATTCAACTGCCGCCCAACTCCTCACCTTCTCAGCACATTCGGATTTCGTAAAATCTATCGTCTTGATTACAGCGCCACAGTCGTCAAACAGCTTGCCTGTTCTTTTATCTGCATCGGCGGACGCTTCTATTCGCAAATGGGATACCTCAAACGCAAAATTGCTTCAAACCTGGAAATCTCATACACGCTCTGTCGAATCTCTTGCAGTACATCAAGTCGCGTTCGATGCTCCAATTCATGTCTACTCGGCATCTTCTGATACTTCTATTCGAAAATGGGATTTTATTACTGGAAGGTTGCTATCTGTCTTTGATGCTCACTTAACAAGTGTGTATGCAGTTACGGTCGTCACAAATGAAGATGGGGAATCGGAATTGTGGAGTGCGTCGGCTGATAAAACTGTAAAGCGCTGGGATCTGGAAACCGAGACCCCAAATTCTAGCTTTGATCATCCCGATTTTGTTAAATGTGTCTGCGTTTACGCGTCCTTTGTTATTACTGGTTGTCGTGATGCTAGTATTCGGATCTTTGACATGACTGTAATTATTTACTCTTTGTTTTTAACTCTGACAACATTTCACCTTCCAGAGCGAAAAATGCATTAATGTTCTCGAAGGGCATTTTGATCAAGTTTCTTGCCTGAATGTAGTTGGTAACCGCCTCTACAGTGCTAGTTTGGACTCCTCTATTCAAACATGGGATCTCGCAGGTTGTTTTGTTCATATTTCGATATTATTTGCAAAGCTTAAAATTTTTTCCCAGAAATTTTAAAGCCTCGAGACTTCAAACTTTATCCACTTTCTGTTTCTGATATGGACATTGCTCAGAGTGATGGACGAGATGATGTACCTCCGCCGTCCACGCTCCACATGCTGTCAGAAGAGGAAGAACAAGAACTTGCAGAGCTATTGGAAGATGATGCTTGACAGAAATGAAAATAAATTGAATTTTCAAAAAAATGCTCGAAGCGAGATTCGAACCCCATATCTTCCAATTGTAAGACAGAGGCTTTAACCAGCTGAGCCGTCTGAGCGAACACATTTTGAAAAAGAATCAAAGAGATTCCAAGTGGGCAAAGTTAACTTGGAACGAGCGAAGCAACGAATATTCTTGAGCTGTGTCTTACACGGCGAAATCTTCCTTTTTGTTTTAAAGCAAAGAAAAGTTGAAGTTTTTAATAAAGAATTCTCTGTTTATTTTAATTTCAATAGCTCTGAATTTATAGAGTTTCAGGATCC